CGAGCAGCTTCTCCCTGGCGTCGGCGAGTTCGGCCTGGTGGGCGGCGATAATCTTCTCGCGGGCCTCGGCAAGCTCGGCCTCGTGGGCGGCGCGCAGCTTCTCGGTGGTGGACGCGAGCTCTTCCTTGTGCGCAGCAATCAGCTTCTCCTTGTCACCAGCGCTCTCAGTCAGGGCAAGGGCCTTCTCCTTTTCGCTGGCAATCTCGGCCAGCAGCTTCTCCTTCTCGCCAGTGGTCTCGGCCTTGAGCGCCTCGACAATGTCAGCGTGGGACGCCTTGAGCGCCTCAATCTCCTTGGCCAGGCTGGACTCGCTGTCGCTCTTGAGAATCTCGAGCTGCTTCGCGTGGCTGTCCTTCAGGCTCTGGAGCTCGGCGAGCTGCGCGTCCTTATCAGCGGAAGCGCCGCTCTTGGCGCCCTCGAGCTCCTCGGCGTGGCTGGCGCGGAGGGCATCCAGGGCCTTTTGGTGCTCGGCCTCCCGCGCCTCGAGAGCGGCAACGGCGGCGGCGAGCTCGGCCTTGGCCGCCTCGAGGGCCTGGGTGTGGCTCTCGCTGCTGTCGGCCTGGGCCTTGGTGAGGTCGCCGTGCTGAGTGGTGAGCTCCGTGTGCTTCGACTCGAGTTCGCCGTGCTTTGAGGTCAGCTCAGTGTGCTGAGCCTCGAGCTCGTTGTGCTTGGTCTCGAGATCCAGGAACTTGCGCTTGAAGAAGGCGTCGCCCTTGAGCGACTCGATCTCCTCCTCATAGTCGGCAGAGACCTGCTTGAGCGCCTCATCGTGCTTCTGAACGTGGGCAGCGTGCTCCGCCTTGGCCTGCTCGAGAGCCTCGTCCTTGGCGGCAATCTCCTCCTTGATGCTGTCAATCTGCTTCTTGAACTCGAGAGCCTCTTCCTGGGCCGTCGCAAGGTCGGCCTGGGCGACGGCAAGCTTGGACTCGACCTCGGCAACGAGGGCCTGCGCGGCGGCCAGCTCGGCAATCTTGGCGTCCAGGTCGGCCTTGGCCTGCTCAGCGGTCTGCTCGGCAGCCTCGAGCTTGCTCTTGAGCTCGGCAACCTCGGCCTCGACGGCGGCCAGCTTCGTCTTGTGGGCCTCGAGCTCGGCGCTGACCTTGGTCTCGTGTGCGACCTCGAGATCGTTCTGGGAAGACGTGAGGTCATCAATCTTCTTCTGCAGCTCGGCGATGGCGCTCTCGTGGCTCGACTTCATGTTGGCGAGGGCCTCCTCGTGGCCGGCGGAGGCAGACTTGCCCTGGTCGAGCTGCTCGGCGTGCTTGGCTTCGAGGGCCTCGATGGCGGCCTTGTGCTGGTCGGTCAGGGAGCTCTGGAGCTCCTCGAGCTTGCTGGCGTGCTCCTCCATGGCCTTGTTGAGGTCGGACTCGCTCTGCTTCAGCTTCTCCTCGTGCTCGGCCTGGAGAGTCTCGAGGGACTGCTTCAGCGAGGCGAGCTCAGTCTCGGCGGCTTCCTTGGCGGCAATCGCCTCCTTGTACTCGCTTTGCTGTTTCTCCAAGTCAGCATCCGTGGCGACAAGATGTTCGTTGGCGTCATCAACCTGGGTCTCGAGCTCGGCCTGCTTAGCTTGCAACTCCGCCACCTGGTCCTGGTGGGCCTTTTGAATGTCATTCACGGCACTCTGCACCTGGGCGGCCTCCTGGGACGTGGCCTCGCCCATCTGGGCCATCCGCGACTGCGACTGCTCTACCTGCGCCTTGAGCTCGGTGAGCTGGGTCTCTTTTTCGGCCAGCTGCGACTCCTTGTCGGTGAGCTGCGCCTTGAGCTGCTCAATCTCCTTGGTCAAGGCCTCGGACGCGCCGGACGAGTCGGGTCGGATCGACGATCGCGAGGTTCGCGTGGCAGAGGAGGTCGCGCCGGCAGCGGTCGAGAGGCGCTTCTTGGCCTCGGCGACGGCGCCGGTGCCGGTGGCGGCCGATCGGGAGGTCGTCGATGAGGGGCGGGGGGCGGAGCTGATGGACTGTCGCGAAGCCGTCGAGGTCCTCGGGGCGGACGAGCTGCTCACGGAGCTGGCGGGTTTTCTGGCGGCAGCAGTGGCGGCGCCGGTGGTCGTGGTCGACGCCCTCTTCTCCTTGCTCGGCGAGCCGGCGCTGCTGGGGACGGCCGAGGTGCGGCGGACCGTCCTCTTGGTCTCGTCCTCAGAGGCAGACACGCTGGGCCGCGAGCGGTGAGTGGCGGTGGACGACGTGCTGCTGGGGACCTTGCGGGTGGCGCTGCTCGTCGTGCTCGTGCTGCTACCGGGAGGACGGGTGGGAGGCTTGCTCAGGCCGCCTGCCACGCGGGTGGTCGAGGAAGTGCCGGCGGGCTTCGCGGTGCTCGACGCAGACGCAGCAGGACGACGAGCGGTGGCCGCCGTTCCCGAGCTCGAGGCAGGCTTCTTCAGGGAGGAAGCGGCCGAGGCGGTCGACTTGGTGCTCGGGGAGCGGGGCGCGGCCTTGGGCGCATCGTCGTGCTGGACGACCTCGAAGCTATCGGCGTCGGACATGGCTGGAGATTATCGTGCCACAGCAAAAGATGTGTGTGTCGTTGGGCAATTCTGTCGGCGCGAGTCGGGTCAGTCAGGAGTCCAGGAAATAGAGCGCGGGCGCGGGTAGCTGCAGGAATTGATAGACACAGGTGGAGAGGGTGGGAGACACGGCATGTCTTGGTGGGAGCTGCTTGCCACGAGCTGCACTGACCCCTCAAGGAGGGCAATTGGGCTCGACAAGGACGGAATGGAATGGAACTCACCTCGCGACGTCTGACAATGAGGCCTTCTCCTTTTCTTTTCCTCGCAGCTGGGCGTTGGTTCGCGGTTCAGGTACGGCGACACGCAACGAGACAAGGAAAACAACACAAAAGGAGCAAAGAAAGGTACGGGGAACGGCGCAGAGGGTCGTTCTGTCTGCAAGCTTCGAAGCTCTGGTCAGTGGCGAAGCTGAGCAGAAGGGAATTGGAATGGGAGGTGCGGGATGGAGGGAGGAAGAGGTGTAAGGTGTCTTATTAGGTAAGGCAACGGCGAGGATATAAAAAAAGTTGTTTCGATGGCGGCGTGGATGGAGTCGCTCTGGCCTGGACACGTCCACATCCACATTGGAAGGTCCCCTTTGGATAAGGTGATGGGTGGTGCATGGGATGGGCGGCAGCACATGGGGGACAGGCGCAAAACACGGCGGGCACGGCGGGCACTGCACTAAAGGTGCGGGTGAACTGGCATTAGGCGGCCCTTGCAGCACTGGCACCCGACGAGAGCAGCGCCCAGATTAAGCGAAGCCGCCTGTAGGGACGGCCACCAGCGGCAACGAAGCCGGGGTCTGCACGCTGCGCAGCAGAGGTGGGGTGGAGCACTGGAGAGGAGACGGGGCGGTCGACCGTTCTACGAAGTGCATGAGGACTGTAGACGGTTGTATCTCACCGTTCTGATTCTATCCTGTGTCTTGACTGGTTATCAATGATTTCGAGATTTCTCAGAGTGGTATACCTACCTCAGGTTGTAGGTAGCCAAGATACAGCACAAATAGCCAGGTACAGGCCCGGCAGCCCCTGACAGCGGGCGATAAGGTGCCAAACAAACAGCCAGCGGACGGTGCTGACAGCGGCACTCGCTCCAGCGCTCAGGAGCTCGGGCAGTGGGTCCATCTCAGGCTTGTCATTTGCTGACGCGACATTGGACGCCAATTGGCTTTCGCTTTCGCGGTACGTACCGCAACGTCTCTCGGTACTCGGGAGGTACTTTGCGGTCGCCTCGCCTCCACCAGCGTCTCCCAACACCACCACCTCCACGTTCCAAACCTCCAGGTCCCCATCGTCTTCATCTCGGCCTGGGAAGCGCCTGTTCCAGCATCTTTATGCACCCGCGACTGGCCGTTTCAATTCGCCATTGCCAGACGCTCGCGGGATCGACACAGGTATGGCATTGACGACTGCCCAACGCCGATGTAACTGGCCACCGAATATCAGACCGGACTTCCATTCTGCCTCGCCTCGTCGCCGTGATGCATGCCCCCGAACTCGGATGCCCCTATAGCGGTCGCTGTCACCTGTGAAGAAGCTGCTGTCCGGCGGCAAGCCACCCGGAGCTATCAACGAGCCCTCCTGAACCCCTGAACTAACAACATGATTAGCAACTCACGTGCGGCCCCGCGAACGCCTGTCTTTGCCTCTTTGGCTCGTGTCAACTCCCCTGCGGAAAAGGAAAAACGACCAGATTACGAGTCGCAAAGGGGCACGAGCGACCGGTCCAATCTACACGGGAAATTGTCCTCAGGTAGCTCGAGAACCCCCGCGCTTTCATCTGATATTCCCTCATCCACCATCGGATGGAAGCACATGTTTGTTCACATTGTGCGCTGTCGATTTTAGAACTCGTGAAAAAAAAAGTAGTCAGTTGGAATCAGCCTCATTCCTTCGCCGTCTGTTTCCCAGCATGGGTCTGCTGGCTTCCGTGGCACAGAAAGCACCGATCAGGGGTCCTCCTCCGCCTCACCTTTAAAAAGAACCTTGCTGGGCGTTGAGTTGATGTCACCATGAACATGTTTCGCATCCAAGATCCTGCGTGACAGCAAAAGACACATGAACCACTCCACCGCCCGCCTGTCCACTGAGCCCAAGCCGCCCAATCGCCGATGCGTTGTCACCATGTCACCGCAGCCCACTCCGCCGCGATGTGGCACCTCACCGTTGGCCCGCCTCAGTCGGACTGTCGCAACCAACTGACCTGCATCGTGGCCCAGGGAGCCCGACCCAGAACTCTTCATCGGAGAAATCCAGAGAGACGGCGCCTGAGTGCTCCATGCCTAACCTGATCTGCGGCCGCTTCTTGCTGGCGCCATCGTCTCTCCCTTGCGCCCCGCTATGACTCGCATCGCGATTCTGTGGAATCTCCAGATACTGTGGATGTTGTCGTGTAAGTGATGATGGAGGGGTCTGGACGTGTGTGTCAAGAGGAAGAAAAAGCTGGATTAAATCAAACGGACTACAATTTTTATTCACCCAAACTTAATATTACAACAAATCCGTATCTAATAATCATCGTCAGAGTCGGTGTCCTCATCCGGCACCAACGCCCGGTATCTGCGGCTGGCCAGGTCCTCCTCGATGCCGCCCTCGCTCTCGGGGTCGACGTATCCCTCGCCGCCAAACAAGCTGAGGGCGACCGGGAGGAAGATGAGGGCGTGGGTGCCCGCAAAGACGACCAGGGCGAGCCAGACACGGAAGTAGTAGATCTCAAAGATCTTGGATCTCGTAAAGGCGAGCACGCAGACTCCGAGGAGCTTGGTGACGGTGATGCCCGAGAAGACGGAGCTGCCGACGTTGACCAGGGCCGTCCAGGCACGCGCGTCACGTCCGCGGAAGCGGTTCTTGGCTCGCTCCATGACGGTGCGGGACGGGAACATGAAGGCCCTGGCGATGTGGGCGCAGAACTCCACGCCAATGCCCACGCAGATGATGAGGTTGACCAGGGAGACGGCGTTGAGCGACACGCCAAAGACCGCCATGGCACCAATAATGTCCACGACCGTCATGCAGACCGTGACCGTCACGACCAGGGCGGTGAGCAGGGAGCCCAGCATGATCGCCGAGATGATGAAGATGATGCCCACCGCAGAGCCGAGGAGCGCGCCAGTCAGCGAGACGATGCTGGCATACTGGTCAAAGAAGATGTAGAAGAGACTGTAAGGGAAGACGTCGACGCCGGTGGATCGCGTGATATCAGATGCAATTCTGCGAGCGGCCGACATGGCGTTGATGAAGTCGTCTTGGCTGCGCAGAGGTGTATGCATCGTTCGGAAGTGACTGGCAGGGATGGTGTCCCGCTCGGAGTCAATCACCACAGCCTGGCCGTAAGAGGCCTGGCCGCCCAGAGGGCAGTCGTCGTTGGTGGGAGACGTGAGGAACTTTTCGAGGTAGTGGACAAACTCGCCGTCTTGCGGCATGCCGGACAGGGTGATATTCCACGGCGGGTTGCGGTCTGCAAAGCAGGCCTTGCCGTTCTCAACGCAGCACGAGTCGCCGAGGTCAGGGTTCAACCAGAGGAAGTAGTCATCGATCCAGCTGGCCGTGGGCGAAGAGATGAAGGAGACCTCGGGTCTCTTGCGCTCACCCTCGAGGATGTTGGTCAGGGAGAACTGGTCGCAGGTGGTGAATCTGGCGCAAATTTCCCGCTGCTGGCTGCGCTCGGTGGCGTTGAACTCCCGGGTGACAAAGTAGACAGGAGGGCCCGTTTCCATGTACTCGTACAGGTCGTTGAAGTACGGAATAAGGTAGGATCCGTCGGGGATGGCGACACGCTGGTCGAGACCAAGCTTGACTTCAGGGATTAAGGCAATGCCGGCGGCGAAGATACCGAGGAAGACGGCGATGATGGCAGCCTTGGCCTGTCGAGTGAGGATCGCCGGAGCATACGTGCGGCGGATGAACTGCTGGAGCAGGCTCTCTTCGGGCACCTCGTAGAATCTGGCATTGGCGTTTCCGTTGCTGCCGCTGAGGTGGACACGGGCAGCCTTGACCTGGAGGCAGGGGATGCAGTCGGCGCGGTGGTCCTCGACGCGGATCTGGTTCATGGCCAGGACGGACACGAACAGAGTGATCTGCAGGATGGCATTGATGAAGACGGCACCAGCGGCGTAAGCGGCAAAGTTGCGGACAGCGGGCATGCCGACGAATGTTCCGAGAGCGAAAGCAACGGTCTCGGTCAGGGCGGAGAAGAGAATGGACGGGCCCATGCGGCCGAGTGCTTTGGCGATTCTCTCCTCAACCATCTCGTCGGGGTGGCTGACGTTGACTCGCTCAAACTCGTGGACAATCAAAAAGATGTTGTCGACGCCCACGGCGAGGACGATGAACGGGATGACCTCGGCAATGATGAGGGTGGCCTTCAGACCAGCCCAGGAGAAGAGACCGATCGATGCGCTGATGGACATGAGCACGATGAGAATGCCAACGACACCGAGGCTGAACTTGGACTGCACCAGCGCGACCGCGGGGTTTCTCATCAAGTCTTTGACGGATAGAGTAGTAGATCCAAGCGCGAGAGAAGCGTAGAGGAACATGATGATATAGCTGATGATGACGATCTTGGCATCGGTGTTGGTGGACTTGTTGAGCTCCTGCTCCAAGCTGACCTCCGTAGAGAAGGACAGGCGAAGTCCCCGCTCCTTGGCTTCTTCTTGGGCGATGAGAAGACGGTCTCGGAGAGCGTTCTCCCAGTCCATAGCGCGCTCGACAGCAGGGCTTCCCTCGGCTGCGTTGCTGACAACCCAATTGACCGTGATGGCGGTGGCCTTGGCAGGATCCTCGTCGTAGCCTCCAAGAATCATGTTCGGCTCGATTGGCTGACCAAAGTCAGGGCGGCACTCGACGGGAGACTTGGCGCACTGTCTGAGTTGGTCTTGCCAGGAGTCACGGCCTACAAGCGCCGGCTCATTCTCAAAGTAGGCGGCGACAGACTGGACGACACACGCAGAGCCGGTGGGCTTCAAGCAAATGTCGTTGAGCGTGGCGCCGTACTTGGCACCCTTCAGCTGCTTGACGCTCTTCTCGACGTCCATCCACCAGATCAGCGTGTCGTAGCTGAGGACGGGAGCCGGGCCGTCCCGATCGTTGACCAGGAATACCTTCTCGGCGCGGTAGAAGGGGCCAAACTTTTCATCAAAGAACGCCTTCTCCTGCGCGGCAGGGGAGGTCGGGCTGACCCAGAGACGTGCAGGGTCCTTTTCAAGGTCAAATCGGACCCAGCCAGCACTGAAGATGATGACGAAGATCAGCGACACACCAATAGTGATGCCGGGATATCTTGCCGCCGCATGTCCGAGCTTGCTGAAGGCCGCGTCGCACCACGTGTTGATCTTGTAGTAGCGCTGGGGTCGGTCAAACATGGCACCGTTTTGGACCAAGTCGCCCTCGTCTTCGTCGTCGCTAGGAGAGGCATCTTGCAGAAGTCTCAGGCGTTCACTCTCTCTCCTGGCACGGCGCCTCCAATAAACGTGTCCGACGACGGCGGCGATCGCGGAGAAGAGCAGGATGCTGTAGGTGAAGATGGCGGCAAACGAGAGGCAGGGCAGCAGGCCGACGTAGCACTCGCCAGGCCTCTTGACGGCGGGGAGCTCCGGGCACACGGACGGGCAGTCGACGCATGCACAGCGGTAGTTGGGGTCCTCGTCGTTGCACTTCTTCGGCGTCATCTCCCTGGGCGACATGTCGGGCTCGGTGTATGAGGTCGGGAAGTTGATCTGGAACGGCGATCCAATGATTTTCTCGTCTCCCAAGAACTTGAGCAGCTGCGAGTAGTTCTTGGCGCCGCCTCCGATAAAGTCCATGGCCTTGGAGTTGGACGGCCCGAACTTGACCTCCTTGCAGCTGTCGTAGAAGCCCGTTCCGTAATCCTCGGAGATCAGCTGGTCCAGCTCGGTGACCATCTCCTTTTTGTTCTTTTCCATCGTCTTTGTGACATTGAGGAAGAGCGATTGATCCGGGGAGCACGTAAAGGTGCAGAAAAGGTTGAAGAAGTTGTCCTTGCAGGCCGGGCAGGAGGACACGATCTGGTTCGGGGTGCCGAGCTCGGACGCGAGCGCTTTCACCTGCGCGGGTTAGACAATGCTTCGAACGGCTCCTTGAGTGTGCTCACCTGGTCAGCATCGCAGCAGACAGGTCCCGATTTCCATTTCTCTCCGCAGAGGTCGACGATCTGCTGTCGCAGCTTCTCGTCGGGGTCCTCGGCAGGCCCGTTGTCAACACAGGGCAGCTGCTTGCCAAAGAAGCTCTTGGAGCCACAGTGGCCTCGAATCGCACATCGTCCGGCTTCGTGTTTCGGTGTATATGGCTCTGCTGCCGCGCCGTTCAGGCCGGCGATCAGCAGTCCGCCGGCTCCGAAGAGCTTCCACAGGGTCATCGCGAGTGTTGCCGCGCAGCGGCTGTATTGGGCTGTTATCGGCGACTAGTTGGTGAAATAGGCGGGAGATGTCAAATGAGGAAATATGGCAGAACCCAAAGAAAAGACGACGATGGAGAGGCCAGAGGTATGGCGACGGCGATGGTGATGTGTCGGAGGTGAGGTGTACGACGCCAACAAGCTTCGTGGGAGCTCCGGCACGTTAGCGGTGGTCTGGTAGTCAGCCCAGGCACTTGCGACACCCAGGTACCGCCCGCGTGCCGCCCTGCGTCATCCGCTCCGACGCCCACACGCACCTGCCACAGGCGTGCAGCAAGAGTGGAGACCTCCAGCTCAACGTTCCATTGGCGGGCTGGGCCCCAGCCACTCGGCCCGGATGTCAATGTCGTCACGAAACAAGTCACGTGGGGGAAGAAGCACCTGCCGAATGCGGAAGGCGTGTTTGTGTTTGTCTTTTATTGGCAACGTAAGGTGTAGAAGTTGGAGTTGAACTTGGGTAATGTGGCCGGAGTTTTGAACGTATTTGATTTGAATCTGTCTTTCTACGTGCCGTTGTATAAGAGGGTTGATACATTATGTTCAATTTCCTGACGATGCTTGGTGTTTGTTGAGTCTTCTACTACGCCTCGCAACCAAGGTTCTTGAAAGTACGCTTCTTGTTGTTCTGCCACCTTTACGATGAACCTTGAGACTGGATGTTGGCATAATTTCACACGACAGGTGGCATCATCAGAAATCCATAAAGGTTAGGACACAAGCCGTCGCAGGTTCAATCGCAGTATCAAGATAACGCCGGTGACAACATGTTTGTGATCAAGAACCCGACTTGAGTCGCTCTCAGAGAGGGGTCTTTCGAGAATCCCATCTGGGAATTCAAAAGGTCGGCCATTCAGCAGACAGAATATCCGTGAATTGAATTCTGTCTTTAAACCACTAAAGTGGTAAACTACTAAACTGGCCGTTGCTTTCCATCAATTTACACATGAGAGGGCTCTGTAGCATAATTTGTGAACCACTCTGTCATTTACGTTCTTCCTCTGTCTATTGTAACCACCGTCCGGACAGGTGATGTTCGTTTGAGGGGTTGTTGGTCCAAAACCCCAAATCACCCAAGTGTCCGGTGAAAAGCTCGTTTATCCAACCAGGTAAAGTCCAGTGACCAATCTGCGGTCTCTGCCCTCGTTCGCGGTTGAAATTGACTTGGTCCAAAGGCCAGATAAAACCAGCACTCCAAAGAAAAGAATGCCGGAATACAACTGATGACAACAGCCGTCAAGAAACGATGCTCCGGAACTTGGTGGGGAAATAAAAAAAAACCACCAAAAGTAAGAGTGCGGACATGGTGACAAGGATGGAGCCTAAGATAATCGAAGCGATGATAGGAGTAAAGCACTCGTTGCATATGCCCTCGTCGAAGAGGTGCGGCAAATGTAGTCGAGTCTGCCATAGACGAAGATGCCGTATGAAAGTCTTGTGTTTTAAGAGAAATCGTTGGTAAGCCGGAAGGTCGCGGCCTATTTTCACAACATCCTTCTCGGTGTCGTAGATGCTGTCAAAATCTGTCGTAGATTCATCAAGCAGCGGTTGCTTTTCCAGTATGGCGTCCATGATGTGTTAAATAGTGGAGAATGAAGTAGAGTTGAAGTTGGAGAGGTTTGTGGATGATGCATTCAAGCTGACAGTCACTGTTAGGAGGGCTATTTTATATAGTATTGCAAATTCTCTTCCAACCTGTCATTAACCAAAAGAAAGTGGCCCCATGATCCAGTAGAATTTCCTGATTCGAGTTCCCATTCCGCCAAATGTATGAGTGCCCTTCAAGGTCTCCGATTACAAAGCCTAATGTGTTAAGTTCAACGTCCGACACCTTTTGTACTCTCGATGCCAATACGTGGACGGGCAAATGAGCGGAGACTCGGCACAATGATTGATAGATTGTCATAGACGTAATAATTGTGGCAGGTAGCATGAATGCATTACACAAACGTCAAAATCAAGAACATCTTTAAGAGTAGTGATTAGACCGGTGAGTAAGCCGGCCGCGAGAACGCAATAGAGTGAAGTGACAAGACCAACAGCGATACACCCATGTATTCGACCCGCATCCAAATGAGACAGCTAAACCGATTCACTCTCAACCTCATCCTCCCCCCTCTCCCATCCCAAGATCTTCGGCCCAAAGTTGTACCACCCGTAACCCTCAATCGACGCAAGCACACAGAAGCCCGAGATTAACCAGAACCTCGCCCTGGGGCTCGATGTGATGTGTCGGATGTTGAACGCCGGAATCTCGACGTCCTCTGGCTTACTGCCGTTGGTGCTCTTCCCTGCTCCGGCTCGGGAGCGGGCGGTGGTGGAGAACGCGGAGTACGGCGCCCGGAGTGGAGTGCGGAGGGCCGTATTGGTGATGCGCGCGGCCATTGGAGACATTTTGGAGTATTTTTTGAGGACAATAATGAATGATCTTGTCTGAAGAGTGTGAATATCAAGTTTGATATATTTTGATTCCTTGACATCGCCCCGACTCCGTCGTATTTATCCTTCTCGTCGCTATTTACGACCCGAGCGTCTCTGCTACGATATTTACGAGGGATGCGTCAGGCGTCATCCTTAAACGGCATGGTAAGGCGTGAAGGCGCCACCGAGACCGGCTGAGCCCGGGAGCTGACCCCTCGGAGTGCATCGGGTCAGATTCATTCATTCATTCATTCGCCAATCAGGCCTGCTTGGAAGATGACATTCTTGGTTCAGTAGGTGATTCATATTTGCGCCTGGTGCAACATGTTCTACAACTGCCCGTGAGCCATAATCTATCTGCACAGCAACGCCGATCCAATGCAACGTGAACGCCCCTCATTTCTTAATCGTAAGCGGCTTGAACGGCTTTCGCAGCCGGTCTATGGGTGCAATCCCCCCTTCCTTCTTCAACGCCGCGGGTCTCTTAAAACCCCCAAATCCGTTCGTCGTTGTCGTAGCATGCAAACAGCTCGCCGGGCGCTCCCGCATCGCCGGCGGCACATCTTCGTCTTCGTTTTCCTTTTCGGGTCTCGGCGGCGAGCTCGAGAAGTTTGCATAATGTTTCTTTGGCCCTGCATCGCCGACAAGTGTTGGTTTTGACGGCTTGGAAGGCATCCTGTTGACGCCTAATTTGTGACTGGCCAGACCAGGCTCGATGGCCGGTGGGGGGATCTGCCCTCGGTGCAAATTTGGCAGCTCAGGCATCTCCTGGAGCGGCTGTCGTGGAGGAGGGGCGGGCATGCAGCTAGTGTCTGACATGTCAGACCTCGACCTCTTGACGAATCCCAGTAGGCTCTGCTGATCGGCCGGGCGCTTAGTTGTACCTCTCCTGGGGCCTGCCGACTTTTGCGGCGCCTGGCGACGGTCTGAGCCTTGGACTGACGCTGCCATTTCTTTCGCGGCAGCCTGTATCGCCGATTGAGCCGCGGTTGCGGTTGTGAAGCCGGGGAGGGACGACATGGTGAAGCTTGATGCCGCATCCATTGTCGTGGCCGTTCCAGAGGTATGCCATGATGGAGCCACCTGAGGGTCTTCCTCTGCAGCCGAGGCGATCTGCGGTCTGGAGCGTCGCTGCCATTGACGGTTCCTGTCGTTGCCCCCATCTCCAAACGCATCCTCTGGGTTCTCGGGATATAGGTTGTCTTCCGGTCGTTCCATCAGCGGCATCTCGCTAAAGACCTTGTTCTGCGAGGGGACCTCAGACTCTCGTCCGAGAATCCGGCCAACCTCTTGCAGCACCCCAGGTTCAAACGACGGACCGCGCTTCCTAAAGTACGGATGGATCTCCGAAGGGATGAACTTGGACAGCTCGGTGCGCTCGCCGCCGTTGCCTCCGTTTGACGAGCTGTACATGGGACAGCTGAGGTAGAGCAGAGACTTTGCTCGCGTCATGGCCACGTATAGGAGGCGGCGTTCTTCGTCCATGTCTTCAGACCGCGCATGCGGGATGGACCCGTTGTACACCGCCGGGACGAAGACGACCGGCCACTCGAGTCCCTTGGCTGCGTGAATCGTCGAGATGGTCACCAGAGGCTTGCCTTCGGTATCGCCCTTTTGCGCGTCTGATGCAAGGGAGACGTTTGCCAGAAACCGGCCGAGAGCGTCGTTCTCCTGGACCTGCTGAACCCCATCGACCTCTGGGAGGCGATCCTCGTCCGCCGTGGCACTCAGATCCCGCATGAAGTCGCCAGCTAAGCTGATGAACTCTTGAACGTTGGCCCACCGTGCCTCGTGGTCTTCTGGGTAGTTCTCCTGGAGGTACTTTTGGAAGTTGAGCTGGTTCAGAAGGCTCTCGATCATGTCCACGAGATGGTAGTAGGGGCTTCCTGTCGGGGGCTCCTCGATTTTCCTCCTAATGCTTGAGATTATCCGAATCAGTTCTCCACTAATCTTCTGCTCCATGGCCTTCTTGATGTTGGTCTTGGCAGTCCGGTCTCCTCGGCAGTGCTTGTTGAGCAGAGACCAGACACTCAGTTTGGCGCCCTCCGCCTCTTCGAGAAGCGACTTGATGGTAGCGTCTCCGACACCGCGTCGGGGCACGTTGATGATGCGCGCGACGGCGTCGTTGTTGTCCGGTTGGTGAATGACACGCAGGTAATCAAGAATCACCTTGACTTCTGCGCGGTCGTAGAACTTGAATCCACCAACCATGCGGTAAGCCAGGCCTGCTTTGCCCAGAGCTGATTCGATATGTCTGGAGAGGGAGGCGGATCGCAGCAGAACCGCCACGTCGTCGTAGTTCAACATCTTGCCTGCCATCAAGAGCATTCGCTTAATCTCTGACACCATCCATTCGGCCTCGACGGCGGAAGATTTCAGTCGGCGCAAAACCGGCCGCGTTCCTTTGTTGTGGATTGGCAGCAGCACTTTCTGGTATCGCCGCTTGTCCTGTTGGATGATCTTGAGGGATACATCCAGAATGGCCTGCGATGATCGGTAGTTCTCTTCCAGGGAGATCTCATCCGTCTTCGGGTAGTCCCTCA